GTATAGTGCCCCCATACTAACCTGGTTGAGAGGAGAGCTGGGAAGGATATGATACAATACAACTCTACTTTATTGTTCAACTCCTCAGAAACGTAATTCCTCATAAAAAAACCTGTTACACCCTGACTCTCTATCCTCTTGTACTAAGCTTACGAGTCCACCTGTGTCCATGTCAAGCACCCCTTATTTTTTTTTGCTATTGACGTGATTGCTGTTCTGAAAGTGTTTTTTCCAAATTTTTAAGAACAAATAATACAAAATAGAGCAGGTATCCAGAAATGCAGATTTTTCCATCCATCGATTTTGTTTTTGGGTTTTTTTCTTTGTTATTTTCCAGGTTCTTAATGAGCAATACTGCATTTCCGTCTTGGAGACATTAAAGGGGCGCAGTGTTAGATCATTTTGTTTGGTTTTGTGACTAAGACATCGACCCAGTGGGTCAATTGCAACGAACTGAAAGCAGCATACTAACAGGAGTCCAGCCGGGAAGTCTGTTGCAATTGACCCAGTATGATTAATAAGAGTAATCCTAATAAACGTCTCGAGAGTCGGTAAGTCACCAGAGGGTCCTATCTCGGAAACCGGCGGGCGGGAGTGAGCGAGTGGAAACAGACCCTAATAATAATAATAATTGCTTACGCTTATATAGCGCTTTTCTGGACACTCCACTCAAAGCGCTTTACAGATAATGGGGATCCCCTCCACCACCACCAGTGTGCAGCCCCACCTGGATGATGTGAAGGTAGCCAGAGTACACTCCCCACACAGCCGCTCTCAGTGGGGAGGAGAGCTGAGTGATGAAGCCAATTCATAGGTGGGGATTATTAGGAGGCCATGATTGGTAAGTGCCAATGGGAAATTTGGCCAGGACACCAGGGTTATAGAGTCAGGACCTCGGTTTTACATCTCATCCGAAGGACGGTGCCTGTTTACAGTATAGTGTCCCTGTCACTATACTGGGGCATTAGGACCCACATGGACCACAGGGTGAGAGTCTCCTGCTGGCCCCACTAACACCTCTTCCAGCAGCAACCTTAGTTTTTCCCAGACGAAGTACAGGCTCAGTGACCACAGCCTGGTCATAGAAACTGGTGACACAGGCAGACCTGGCTGCCCAGAAAGGACAGGCTGTGCTCCCACTGCCAGCGGGGAGAAATAGAGACAGAGGTGCACTTCCTACTGCACTGTGACAGATACTCTGGGATTAGAGAAACATTCTTCCCTAAATTCAGAAATCTAATCCCAGAGTTCCCACACCTGCCAGAATCACAACGGGCCCAGTCCTACTGGGAGAGGGAGGAGGGAACTCAGTGGAACTGGCAGCCCAGTATGTGATCTCCTGTCACAGGCTGAGGAACAGTGAGTCTGTCTCCCAATGATGCTCCATCTGTCTACAGTATATGTAAATATTTTATGATATGTCTTTGTTGTAAATGTCTGTAGATTTTATTTTACTTTTATTTTTTTGTCTTGTTTCATGTGGATTTCGTTATTTTTATTTGCTTTGGCAACACTGATCGTCACCATCGGTCATGCTAATAAAGCACCTTGAATTGAACTGAATTGAGTGGGCTACATTACTGCCTGCCAGGTCTCTGTCTGCACTGGATCTGCTCGCACGGCAGCTCCGTCTCTTCCACGCAGCCCTCCTCCTCCGTCATGTGACACCTTCGCACTTCCGTCCCTGTGCCGAGCCGAGCTGCCCTGTCGGTTCGCCCCGGTACCTGACCCACCCCCTCCCCCCGGGAGCCAGGCGAGCCGTCAGGCGGATCCGCAGCGCCTCGGAGCCACCTCGGGGGAGAACCAAGGCCCTCACAGACGGGGGGGGGACGAAACAAAAAAAGAAAAGGACCGAAGCCTTTAGCGGCGCGTCCAGCGGCGCTACGGGCTTTGCGTGGGTTAGCTCCCAAGTCTGAAGGGAGGGGATCTCTCCAGGGGCCCCCGCTACCCCTACCCCTCCTGCGGCCGCGATGTCCGCCGCGGCCCCCAAGAAGCAGGTCCGCTTCGCCAGGACGGAGCAGAGCGACGGCGACGGCGACGACGACAACAACGACGATCAGGAGGAGGACACGCTGTTCGACAAGCGGCAGGACGCGCAGCGGGGCTCCCCGGGCCTCCGGACGGGGGCCAGGAGGCGAGACGAGCTGGGCTCCGAGGAGGTGGCGGTGCGGGGCAGCAGGACGGGCGGCCAGGCGGATGTCAGCCGGTGGCCCGTCACCGCCGTCCTCTGTGCCTCCTTCCTCGGCCTGGTGAGTAAGGACCCACCTCGCTTCCTGATGGCGTGACGGGCGTTTGTGATGCCCGTGTACTCGGTGAACACCTGCCGGAGCCGGCCGGTCTGGCGCACTGGGGCGGGGACTTCACTCGCACGGTGTCATGAATGTGCCCCGGTGTCGGTAGTGCCCGCAGTCCAGAGGCGGTTCTCGGGGCTGCTCTTGGGAGTGTGCAGTTAGTGCGGGTCAATGACCGCAAACCTGCCTGCCCCGGCTGCCGGCCTGTGTTCCCGTGAGTCCGATGTGTATAGTCCTTTAGGATTAACCACCCGACGTGTGTGAGGGGGTCTGACGTCTCTGAGCCGGAGACCAGAGTCCCAGGAGGCTGAAGTTCTGGTTTCGGTGTCTCTGGGCGATGTGGTCCCAGGTGCCTGCTGGTGATGCAGGGGAGAGGGTGCCGAGGAGAGGACAGATGGGTGACGAGCGCTCAATTCAATTCAGCTTTATTTGTCATTATACTTGCACGGGTGCATAGTATAGCGAAAGGTGTTTCTCATGAGTCTCTCATCTGCAGTATATAAATAGAACAGCAGACAGGACAATAGACAGTAATACAACAACAGTAACAATGTAAACAACAGTATGGTGCCAGTACAGAATTGTCAGAAACTGTGCAAATACACAAGCAGAGAAAAGTATACAAACAGGACAGAAACAGTGCAAAAGTAATACGGTGATTAATAAATAGTACAACTAGTACAGTTTTAAGTACAATTTCGGTGCAACCCAGGAAAACTTCGCTGGGTTTGGGTAACAGTATCTGGGTACTGTATTCTGCAGAATACATTAGTGATAATAAGCCAGCTTTGCATTTATCCTCCAGGTGGAATGAAGTGCTTTTGACCGCTTCTAAGGGTCAGGGGTCACAGGTGAGGTCACGGTGCAGTGTCCCTGTCTGCACTCTCTAAGCAGCTGGAAGCTAGAATGGGGTTTGCCCTGAAGGTCATGGTCCAGAGCAGAGCTGTAGACATGACCTCTGACAGGCCTTCCCTGCCCGAGGAAGAGGTCGGAGTGTACGTTCGTCTACCACAGCGGAACCGTGCAGCATATGGAAATCCAGAGCTGCTGCGTATGGAAATATATACAAATTGATCACAACTGAAATTGTAGCAAAGCCTGGCTTTGTTCCACCTGACAGTTTCAGTGCAGGTGTTTGAGTACTGTTGACAAATCCGATAAGGCCTTG